ATAAAAAGTGAAATCTCTCTTTTAAAAGGAATGGATCAACATTTTGGAAAATCTGCTAATTTCTAATAGAGAGTCAGAAGATAAGATCACCCTCACATTTGTCCCTTCAATATGAAGCCAGAGGCAGGAGACGTTCGTTAAGCTTAGCAATAAGAAATGGGAGAAACAGCTAGCCTGGCTCTGTCAAAGGTGACAGGTATGGGTGGACCTGTAAAGCTCTGAAACCTTTCGACAGAGCCTGGCAAGCTCTTTCCAGTCGTTATGCTAAACTACGCTGAACTAACCTTCTCCTGGCTGTGGCTTCACAGACAGACATGAGAGTGGTATTAATCTTCTCTTCTCTTGGCAAGAAAGCAAATATGTATATTTATATAGTGTCAAACTATTCTGTGTAAGTGTCTGTATTCGAAAATGACATTAGCATTCAAAACGGAACATGTAGCTGTATCTTGTACGTGATCTTTTCATTATCAGTAGAAAATGCTACATTACATTCATCTTTTGTAGTATACTATGATTACAGTCAGCAATAACATATGAAGATGTGTACAGTGTGCACTGTATAGAACTGGTACAGAGTGTGTATGCAGCTGGCGTGACAGCAGGGTAAACACAGCTTCATCATCATGTTAATTGGTGGGTTCAACTCTGGTCTGCCAATTGGCGGGCACTGAGAACAATTCTATTGGCAGTGGTTGCTTCTTTTCAATCTTATGAGCTGTGTTTATACGTGTTCCTAAATGTTTGTCCTTAGCCTACCTAACATTTGTGAGTTATATTGTTCATGTGCTTCCTTATAACTGCATACTGCAGGTCGCTGACTCTTCAGTGACCCCTCGTTCACTAAATTAGTGGCCTAATCAGTGTCTGAAATCTAATTCACTGTATGGTGACTCACTACCTGCTGAACTCGTGACAGATGGGAAACACACCCTACAACTTAAGGAGGTCTCAGAGCTGCGCTGAGGAAGAACGCTTTCAGCGAAAACAATGGCGTCGCCTCGATCCAAAAGGATCTAACAAAGTGTTAATGAGGCAGATAAAGCCGGACTGAGCCCTCCTAACCTGTAACCATGGCACCTGAGAATGTCAGGCAACAAAAGACTTGAGCACTTTACAGCCCCTGCCAAAAACACACTCTCCCACTTCCCTGCTCCCTCCCTCTTCCTCTCCGGCTTCTTTCTCTGAGCTCCAGGTTTTATGATTACATTATTCCTGTAGGAAATATACAACCCGGTGCCTTCCCATCTCTCTTGGTTCAGCAATGTAGGATGCTGTTAAGTTTGGTTTATGGGCAAGTGTGTATGTGTGTGAGGTCATGGTCATGTGCACCAACACGTGTTTATGGCAGTGAATGTGTTTCGTACGAAAGGACAAAAATTAAATCACACACACACACACAGTCTATAAACTCAGAAAGCTTGCCAGCTCTTCCTGAGCTCTTCCTTCCCCCTTCTTCTTTTTTCCCAACAATGTAACAAGGCTGGCTGGTCAACCCATCATTCCTCTGGCCCTGCCTGACGTAATACAGGGAGATAACATCTGGCTTGGCAAAAGCTATTACACATTAGAAAGAGTGGAGGATATGGGGTCAGCACTTTAGTGTGAGCGGTAGCCAAAGAGAAAAGTGGTTCTCAGAGAACCAACAGAGAGAACAAAATACATTTTTGCTGTCCCCCCCCCCCCCCC